CCCTTCCTCTGGGACCTCCTTCTGACCTCTCCTCCTCACTAGACTGAGTCAGGTGCCTCCCACATACCAGAGTTTACCCTATAATAGCGCTGACCTTTCTGGATGGACAAGTTTCTGAAAAAAGGAGTCTAGAATAATTTTGTTCCCTTTTGTATTCCCACCTATTTGTGCCAAATAGTCAATAAAAATTTGCTGCTGAGTAAAGCAATGTTGACCAGAAAGTATGAGGCAGAGAAAAAGAGAAGAAAGGATGTGGAACTTGCTACAAGAGGATCCAACCCCAGGAGTAGAGATGGTGTAAACCTAGTCAAAGGACCTCAGACCAGAAAGGCAAAATCACTACTTCCAACCAGAAACCAGTGTCACAAAAGCACACTAGGACCTGGGCACAGTRGTACACTGTAATCCTAGCAGCTCAGGAGGCTGAGGCAGGAGGATCACAGGTTCAAAGCCAACTTTAGCAACCGGAAGGGACTAAGCACCTCAGTGAGACCCTGTCTCTAAGTAAAATCCAAAATAGGGCTGGGGATGTGGCTCAGTGGTCAAGTGGCCCCAAGTTCTATCCACACACACACACACACAAAAACAAGCACACTAGGGAATTGACTTTTCAGACCCAGCTCCTGGTCTTTGGGCCCCATACCTGATGGGTCCAAATTCCTGCAATGCCTCCACAAGGTCAGCTTCCACCACACCGTCAATCAGGCCCCTGATGTGGACAACTGGGGAGGCAGGGGTTTTGTGGGGGTCATCGTAGTTCTCCTGAAAAAAGAAACAGAAACAACACCTCATTTTGTGACATACAAGATCATAGTCCTCTGTGTTGTTGGAGATCCAGTCAAATAAGTTACGTGTCACCCAGGAAAGATGCATGGGGCAGAAGAGAGGGAGCAATTCAACCCAATCACCCCAAAAGGATTCTGGACCAGCAGAATAACAGCTCTGAGTGGTAGCCACTTGCCCATTGGCTCTAGCTTCTGAGAAAGGGAAAAAGGTGGAAGGGAAAAAATCTCAACTTTTACATCCCTCCAAGGACCATCTCTGGTCAATCAAGAGCATTCCTGCTCAATCAAGGAAACACAGAACAGTGGCTTAGAAAGCAACCTAGCAGGCGAGGCTTAAACAGCTATCTGCTGTGGTGTGAACAGACGTCTGTTTTCTGCATGTGCCCCCACCTTCTTTGTATTCTCTGGTTGAGCAAACCAGGCACGACTGGACTGTCCTCCACCAGTCATCCCCAAGTCCAGCCAGGGCAAAATAGTATGTGCCCTTAAACTTGTGAAGGACCAGACAATTTTGACTCCTTCATGCCTTTTATCGCTCCCACCAAAATCTGCTTTGAAAAATACTGCCTAAGCTGGACTAAAGAAAAAGAGGTGAGGAAACTMAAAGAAGAGCAACTTCAACCCACACCACTAAGTTCCTTCTCAGAAGTGTCTCTCCAGTCACAGAGATAGCAGCCTCTGGGACTCAGGAGCAAAGTAACTTTCTCCTCCATCTCTCCTGGGCTCTGGGCCCAGCCTCCTGTCTGAGAAATCACTGGGCACAAGACCATGGAACAGGGACAGAACTGGATTCTATTTCAGGAACCGACTACACAAACCACAGGAGACACTCCCTTCCCGGTGGTTATGGGTCCTGAGTTCTAATTCCAGAATTGTCCCTCACTAGCTATGTGATGGAATCTCCCTTATCTTTTGCTGGTTTCCTCTCTGGAAACTGGGAATTCATATATCTGCCCCCAACCCACAGAACAGCGATTCCTTAATAGAATGACTTCTGAGCAGGTCAAACAGAGCCCGGGAAGACCGAGCAGAAGCCCTTTAATAACTTCCGCGGATGGGGCTGGCCCCGACCCACAAGGGACAACTGGTGTTGTTTCGGGGGTGGCAGATTTAAGAGGCTGAATCCCTCCTTCCGTGGACAGATGACCGGGGAATATTTGAGTTTATCAACCTCCAAGAAATTGAAATCGTAAGCAAACGTGTCAAGGTTCCGACGTCTGGCTCAACTCCCAGACAACTAAATCTGCTTCTCGCAAATCTTCCTATTTCCAACGCCCACAAAAATAGGGAAAATGTTCTACGCTGGGGTATATTTTTCAATAAATCAATAACTGGAGGCCGGGAGTCAAGGCGTGACGCTACTGGGATCAGACAGCGATCGGCCGGAATTCCCCACTCCGCCGGGCCGCCGCCCACCCGTTCCCGCTCACGAGATGCCCCCCCAACCGCCCACGAGGCCAGGCGAGAGAAGCGCGCCTGCGCACCGGGCCACAGAAGAAAATGATAAAGGGGGGGAAAAACGGCCCGGCCGCGTGCCCGACCCCCACACGCTAGCCCGCGGCGCCTGCGCAATACGTTGCCCGCAACGCGAGCAGCTTCCTCCACCCCCTCAACCCCCGCTCAGGATTGCGCGCACGCGCAAGTGCCTGTCCTCGCGCAATCCCCGCCGTTTGCCCAACGCCTGCCCCTCCCCCACTCCCGTCAGCGGCGCGAGGGCCTAGGCGCCTGCGCAGAGGGGCCCCCCAAAATAAATACCCTGAAAGTACGAAAATTTCCCACCCTTCCCAGAGTCTAAAGCCCTAGCCTCACCCCGCCGCCGCCTCCCGCTGCCCCGGCTCCTCCACCGCCGCCGCCACCGCCTCCGTGCTGGTCGCCGGCGTTGTCAGTCTTCAGCCGTTTAGGAGCCCGGCCTCCCTCACTGCCGCCGCCGTAGTAACGGCCACCGCCGCCTCCGCCGCCCGCCGCCGCCATCTTCACCATCGCTCCCGACCGCCTCAGCTGCTCGTCCGGCTGCTGCCTCTGCTCCAGCCGCCGACGCCGCTTCTCCGCCCGGGGCAGCAGCCTCCGCGACATGGCGGCGCAGAACCCGCCTCCCCCCGCCTCTCATTGGGGGAGGGACCCGCCCGTCACCCGCCGCCCCCACCCGATAGGGGGAGCCACTGGCCCCGCCGCGGGGGGAGGGGAAGCTTCTGCACGCCTTACACGACTATTGGACACGGCTCACGCCGTTCTGCAGAAGGGCCCACCCTCGTTTGTCTGAAACACTCCTTATAGGCCAGGGCTTTCTGCCAGTCATTTCTCCAATCCCGCCGCCTTAAAATAAACCCCAACTTGATAGGTCAGATTTCTGGCATTGCCCGGCCTCACCAAGAGCGCCTAATAGGAGCGACTGTCCAACTTTTGGGAGAAGTCCCGCCTCCTTCCCACTTTCGTTGGTTTTGTCGCTAGTCCGTCAAACTGAAAATCTCCCCAGTCACGACTACCTTCCAGAGCCACTGTGCAAGGAGGCAAGGAAGGCGTTCATTTTTGTCTCTTTGCAGTGGTTACTACAGATGCCTATCTTTTCTGTCACCACCCAATTGGTCAATGGAGAGTGGAAAGAGTACGCTCTCGCTAGATGGTAGGACTACTGATGGTCTCTGATTGGGTGAAAAAGGGGAGCCACAGGCGCTCTTTGGCGCAGTCTAGGAACGGATCTGAGCAAGGACGCATGCGCTTATGTGCTTTTAGGGGCCTCCAGAGGCGGGGCGACTCTTCAAGGAAGCGATCGCGGGAGTATCTCGGGTATTTTTTGATTGTCTGATGTTTGCCGCTCCGGAAGTCTAGAGCCACAGAGAGGGCAATTCCCTGCTATCTACATTCCCATCACTGTACCTTGTACCTCTTCACAGCCAACCTACTCGCGGCTGTTTCCCCCCCCTTTTTAACTCTGTTCTCACCCTGTCAGTTGGGCAGTCATTTCTCCACCTCTAAATTTGGCCACAGTAACTCCTTTCAGTTGGCAGAAAGGGAAGGAGCTTTCCCACACCTCTCCATCTTTGCCCTTGTGCGCCCCTCTCCGCAGAATACTTTTCCCGCTCTCCCTCCAATAGAAGCTAAGGGTCAACTCCCTGTCGGTGCAGAGTTCAGCTCCCTATCCTCCCGGACCCCCAGGATTTGCCTTCTGGCTTTCACTTGACAGCCCTGAAGAGGACTCCCGGGACGGTACCCTCAGAGGCTCCAGCGAAGCCCAAAGACCCGAGCTCGGGGGCGGGGCGCCGGAGTTACAGTAGTGGAGGGGCCGGGCCCAGATCCCACGCGGAGATCCCGTCCCGTGATGGGGCTGACCCCACCCCCGCGGGGGGCACGGACGAGCTAGGGGTGTGGCTCAGGGCAGGACGCTCGCTTTGCCTGCTCGAGGCCCAGGGTTCCATCCCCATCACCAAAAATTAAATAAAAAGAAAAGAATGAGAAGAGGCCAAGCGAGTCTAGGGGTCGTGGGAAAGGCGGAGGACGGGCCCAAAGGTGCTCCGGAACCTTTCCGCCAGGGTGAAGGGGTTCCCACAGTCTGCGCCCTGCGGAAACTAAGTTTGAAATGGGGTCAAGGGCACAGAAAGAATGGAACAGTGCCAGTTTGGGGGACTAAAGTTTTGTGGGAAAGTATCTGAGGAGACCCTAAAATCAACTGCCAAGTCGCACCCGGAAGATCACAAAACCCGGCAGGACTGGGACAGAGGGCGCCACGGGCTCCGGGCCACGTGACGTGAGCGGAGGGCGGGGTCGCGGGCCCAGACGTCAGAGGAATGCGGTGGGGGAGGGGAGGACCCCGGGCCCCTCCCCTCCCCGCCCCCGCGCCCGGCCCGGACGCCCCTCGCGCCGGCGTGCGCCGATTGAACGCCGCGGAACCGGTCCGGGCGCCGCGCGCCGCAGGCCGCTCTCCCCTCAACGCGCGCCCACGGCGGCGACCCGGCGGCCGCGCCGTCTGCACCCCACGCTCGCGGCCGCCGCCCCACCCCCAGCCCTCCGCGCGGATGGCCGCGGCTAGCGCCTCTGGCTAGTGCCCCCGCGCCCCTCCCTGACCCCGCGCCCCAGTCCCCTACCAGCTCGGCGGCGAGCCTGGCCGGCCGTCCGGGATCGAAAAGAGCAGACACTGGGAAGTTTTGGGGGAGGGAGGGGCGGGCCTTAAAGGGACCACGACCTCTTTTCAGCGTGGAAAAAAAAAATGTGTGCGGGGAAGACCGTGGAGGCCACGAGGCCAGAAAGGAGTAGGAAGAGCGCCGGCCGCCGCACTCGAACTCCGCGCCTCCCCAGACCCCCACCCCCGCAGGCAGAGTCGTCCTTCCTCTTGGTCAGCCAAGTGCCGGGTTGGTCCGTTGGGTTGCGTGGTACAGATGGCCAAACGGACTCGGGTGCAAGTAAGTGACTGACCCAAGGCGCCTCAGCGTGTCAGTGGCCGGGCAGGTTTGTCTGACGTCAAGGCAGAGGCACAGCCCGGCCCTGCAGTGCCTGTGTGGTTCTGGGGGCAGCAGTAGAGGAGGAGGTGAGGAAGGCTCGGGGTCACGGCACCGTGTTCTGATAGGAGGCTGCTGCTTTGGGAAACTGAGTTAGTCATCCTCACCATTAGGGACTCAGTCCTAGCACCTTCCCCAGGGTGATCGTGAGGACTGCTTGGGTGCATGGAACAAAGGGGACCTAAGAGGCCTACCCCCATTTCACAGATGACCTAAAACAAGCCCACAGAGTGCGCGGAACAGCTGGAAATTCCACAGCAGGGCCGCCTGTCAAAGAGCAAGTCACTCCCCTCAACTCCACCACGCCGATCGAAATCTGAGCTGCACAGGTTCTTGGAAACCCACACCTACCCGCTTTCTACTAGTTTTCTGCCGGGCACAAACACTGCCTTTCCTTTTATTTGTTAAATAGCCAAAGTTCACTCTTGCCTGGGGCCTTTGCCTTAGCTGCTCCACTCACTGGATGTTCTTTCCCCATTTTGCTCCTTGTTATCTGACCTGCCTCTTCTGGGGTGTCTGGTCTTGACCGTGCCAGCCTAGTTAATCTTCACAGTTTTTGTGTGTGTTTGGGTACCAGGTATTGAACCCAGGGACACTTAACACTGTGCCTGAGCCACATCCCCCCCCCCCCCATACACACACACACACACACACCTTTTTTTGGAGAGGGTGTCTTGCTTAGGCCTACTAGTTGCTGAGGTTGGCCTTGAACTTACCATCCTGCCTCAGCCTGAGTTGCTAAGATGCCAGGGATGTGCGACCTTGCCAGCTCTCCATAGTTTTAATCATGGCTCCCCACTTAACTACCTTTTTATTCTTCTGCCATAGGAACCTGTCCAGACTTTGGGGGCCAAAAGTAAGTTATGTATCCCATTACTTTATTCTTTTCTTTCTTTTTTTTTTTTTTTTTTTTTTTTTTTAGTGGGGATGGAACCCAGTGTAAGGTCCTTGCTTAGCATCTGGACAGCAATCTTAAGTGAGAAAGGCTCACCACCCTGTCATACCAACCCAACCCTTCACTGCCTGCCTTCTTTCCCGCCCAAGGGAGCATCACCAACCCCTCATACCAACCCCACCAATAACAAAAAAAAAAGGGGGGGAAGGTAAAGTCCTTGCTTAGCATCTGGACGGCCATCTTAATTGAGAAAGGCTCACCACCCCTCACACCAACCCAACCCCTAACCACCCGCAGTAGGACCCGCCTGGCTCTAATCCCTGAACCTGCCCCATAAAAGTCCCAAATCCCAAGCCTGTTGTCTCTCTCCATCTATGGAGAGATGGCCTTCAGCTCTGACAAGTTACCTCTCCTGTGTACCTATTTCTCGCTCACCTATCTCCCGGTTCCTCACTTTCCTTTCACCCAGGGCCTAGGCAGGCCCCCAGCACCAAGCTGTAGCCCAGCCCTTTATTTTATTTTGAGTCAGGGTCTTGCTAAGTTGCTGATACTGGCCTCAAACTTGTGATCCTCCTGCCTCAGCCTCCCAAGTCGCTGGGATTTAGGTGTACATTACATTTTGGATGCTTTACATTTTGTACATTGCATTTTGGTTAATGGCATGCATACCCCACAGAGGTCCCATAAGAAGGTCTAGCCTAACAATGTCAGCCATCTTCCTGGTAAGTACACTGATGTTTGCATAATTCCCGGGGCCTCCCCTGCTTAAGTGAGGCCTGATTCCTCAATGACCCTCTCTGCAGGCATTCAAGCATTCAACAGTTGTTAATTGAGCCCACACCATCTGGGGCAGGTGGGTTAAAACCGTCAATGTCAACGACAGAGCTAAAATCAACACTTCAGGATGACTTTCCATGGACAATAAATGGGGAAAACTTGTGAGATGGCRGTAACGGCTGGGAAGAAAAATGAGGCGAAGGGGACCCAGGGTTGTGTGAGGGCAGTGTGCGCTGCTCAGAGGGGTCCCCAGGGGAGGCTTCTTTGGGAAGGTGACATTGTGGATACTGGGAAAAGAGCATTCCAAGCAGAGGGACAGCCAGCGTAAAGACCCTGAGGTGCCAATAGGCAGAGCCATGACTCCAAACCGCTCCTGTGGGGCTCAAAGTGGCTGGTGCCCAGCACCCCCCCCCCCCCCCCCCCCCCCCCGTTACTTTGGCTGCTGTCACCAGTGTGAGACACCACAGTGGAGTCCTGCTAGGGCTATAACTCAGTCGTAGAGCGTTTGCCTCAGGTGTGCTGAGCCCTGGGTTTGAGTCTCAGTACCACAAAAAAAGTTAATTAGGCAACAACAACAACAAAAGTTAATTAGGCAAAAAAAAAAAAAGTTAATTAGGCAATACACGTTCGTGGTGCAAACAGCAATCAAACATCAAACTTAGAATGATCAGCCTCCTTGCCTGTCCTCATTTCTCTCCCAGAGGCAGCCATTGCTACCAATCCCTGAGTGTCCTTCCAGAAATATCCTAGACGCACAGAGCAGATTCTTGAACACATCCCCCATCACGAAACTTTGGGAAATGTTCCGAGAATTGCATGGTTGGGCAATTTTGTCACGTGAACGTCATGGAATGTTCTAACACAAACCTGAATGGCACCGGCCACCTACACACCTAAAGTATGTGCAGTGCCTATTGGTTCTTTGTAGACTAAAGAGTGAAAATGTGTGACATTGACTGTACGATACCCTTTTCCATATTTCATACAAATGTTTCTGGTCTTTGACTTTTTTTGGAGGATCATTTTGTATTTGTATATAAAGAACTGCTTCATTATTTGTCTTAAACAATCTTATAAACCAAAGCATTACGTTAAAATTGTAACGTAATGCCTAGATATTCCCCACCCACCTTAAAAAAATAAAATATTAGTGTCTTTGGGCCCTTTTCCTTGTCTCCCTTGAATTGCCTTGCCATCTCTGCACTCAAGGGGGTGACCACTAAGCCAGGCAWGGCAGGGTGCACCGGTAATCCCAGGGGCTCTGGAGGCTGAGGCAGGAGGATCACCAAGTTCAAAGCCAGCCTCAGGGACTTAGTAAGGCCCTAAGCAACTCAGTAAGACCCTGTCTCTAATTAAAATATAAAAAGGCTGGGGATGTGGCTGAGTGGTAAAGTGCCCCTGGGTTCAATCCCTGGTACCAAAAAAGTAAAAAAAAAAAAAAAGGTAACCACTGTCGTCCTGAAATTTGTCTTTATAATATACTTGCTTTTTTTTTTTTTTAAAGAGAGGGAGAGAGAGAGAGAATTTCAATATTTATTATTTATTGGCAGACACAACATCTTTGTTTGTATGTGGTGCTGAGAATCGAACCCGGGCCGCACGCATGCCAGGTGAGCGCGCTACCGCTTGAGCCACATCCCCAGCCCTATAATTGCTCTTCTTTATGGTTTTATTACAAACCTTTTTTTCTTTATTGTTTAATCTTTTCTGTTCAGAGATCTCATAAAATGGAATCACATTGTTTGTATTATATATAAATATGTTTATGTTTATATATAACAATAAATATAGTATATTCAATTATGAATTAAATTATCAAATATAAGTATATATTATAATAGATTATATAAAATTATAAATAGAAGTTAAATCATTTATATATAAATATATGTATTTATGTTATATATGTATAATAATTTATTTACAATAAATAATAAAATATATTTATTCGTAATATTATTTATTTCATGCAAATATACATTCATATGTTGTAAATATGTACATAAATATAAATTTTTTTCCCTCTCTATTTTTTTGTTTGGCTAAATTGGACCCAGGGTCTCATAAATGCTGGGCACATGCTCTATATCTCAGCCCTTTTTCTCTTTTGGTACTTGGAATTGAACCCAAGGTTGCTTAGCCACTGAAATACCCATCCCCAGTCCTTTTTATTTTTTTACTTCAAGACAGGGTCTCGGGGCTGGGGATGTGGCTCAGCGGTAGCGCGCTCGCCTGGCATGCGTGCGGCCCGGGTTCGATCCTCAGCACCACATACCAACAAAGATGTTGTGTCCGCCGAGAACTAA